TTTATTTCCTTGCATTGCATAATTTTTTCATTGCATATTTCTTCATTTAATAGAAGTTCGCAGTGTTTATCACTTTCCTCTTTTCGTTTACTTATACATATTGCCTACTTACATCACTTAATTATTGTTTTTGTTTTTGTTTTAAATATGCGCATTCATTAAGCTTGATTATTTTCCTAATTTATAATGAATAAATTCAAATATTTCCTCTCCATATAGTTACCTATGTATTTATAGAAAAAATATGTGCATAAGTATGTAAATAAATACATTTGTCTAATACACATACATATGTATGGATATACAAATTTATGAATGTGTGACTTTTTCATTGGCTTAAGACAATTTCATCGCAATCGCATAAAACTATCTTGAATTTGTTTGCATGCGTTTTAATATTAAAGTAGTCGATGGTTGTTGATGATTTTATTGCGCAGTAGATCATGTGATCGACTGGAATATTCCATCGAATCGTTTATTACTGCCGCTAGCAATTTGAGTGAGAATGTACAAATAATTAAAAGTTATTATATGCATACTATAAATATTTATGAATAAAACGGATAATTCAATATTTGTTATTTATATTCTTTCTTCTATTTATAACTTCTATTAAAAATATTTTTGGGTAAATTTTAGAAGAAAATGCATTGAATAGGGGCAAAGTTGTAAGAAACAAATAAACATGCATAGCATGAAATATGTATGTATTAGTTGAGACCCTTTACGGCAAATATTACAAATTAAAAAAAATAAATTGGTTGAATTGCATTGAACAGAATACAAAGGTGAAAGCAAAGAAGCTCTACAGCATAGCGAATGGATTAATTAATTTCTGTTGGAGCGGTTGTTATTAGCAGTATTGCCGTTGTGCGACTAACGGGACAATTTGACTCTTTTTAAGCGCCAATACACTTTGACCCGACTGTTTTAAAAATTTTGATTTTTTGACACTTTTCCAAAATTATGTGCGACTTTGGCCCCTTTTCTGAGATTTTTTTTTAGGAAATGTTATCAGAACCATGCTATTAAAAAATATTTCCTCATATAAGTATGAAAAAATCCAACACTTAAAACTTTCAAAGGATATGCAACTCTTCTCCTTGCAGCAACTAGATTTAGGTGTATGCTTTTGTGCGAAGCCGCCTTTGAACGGCAAATGGTTTTAATGAGAAGCTTTTTTCCACGCCAGAAACACGGTCGATGGTTTGCGGTTAGCTGTCAAAGGCCGACCGCATTTCTTAACCGTTCCAGACCCAGTACGGCATTGATTGTAATTGCAATGCAGATGAGCTCGCTGGTCTCAGCGCTACACTGAAAAAAGAGTTTGGTTAGGTCAACTGAATGTTTGGAATTTTTTGTTTTATCACCTATTTGATTAAAAGATGATTAAGACAAGCATATTGCCTACGATTTGGGCCTAATTCATACTAAAACTAACAGAAATGGGCTAAAAATATTAAAAAAAAAATTACTTAAAAATCATGGGTGTGCTAAACAGTAAAGTTGAGTGAAGGAACTTCTTTATAAGTGCACCATCTTTTGGCGTAATTACAAAACTGAAGTATATTGGAAATCTATCATCGATCTATCAATCTATCAAAGTGCCTTTTGAAATGACGGAGATTTTTAATTTAAAAAATGCCGATCTATTTATGTTCCCAAATTCATTTTTACCAAACCATATTCAATAAAAATATTAAAAAAGATGGAGTCTCAAAGGACTTAGAAGTTATAAACTTTTGAATTTACACTAAAAAAAGAACAAATTCTCAGTATGCCTCATAAAGTGAATTTATAAAAAATCGGGTTGCCATATTTTGATCATATATTTGTTTCTTGTCATAGTAGTAAATATCTATTGCAGCATCTTACTCAACACCTAAGAAAAACTAAAAATGCAGTTTTACTATTTTTGGCCCCTTGGTGACCCGCAAAATAATTTGCTTTAAAATTATTTACAACCTCTGGTAGTTACAGAGAGCGCTGGCCAAATGAGGAAGTGTACCTTTGACATATTTGTGTATTGCCCTTTAGTTTTTGGCCATTAAGACAATTGCATTTGTCATAGCAATAAGTATCCTAGGCTTCGTCATAAGAAATAAATACGAAAGTTAAGAAAAACTTATAGAAATGCTGAATTTTCCTAATAATAACAAACAACAATGAAACATAAAAACACTGAAGTCTTTTTATGAAATAGGAAATGGTTTCATATAAAAATTTATGTACATATAAACCAACAACACAGCTACAAACGTTTTTATACTTAAATAACCCACAATAAAAATCAACTGCATGCAATTGCATAATCTGCACTAAGCTACCAAAAAGAAAGAAACCACAAACAATTCAATACTTTAACTATGAAAAGGGAACAGAAAAAAAACATAGAAATAATTAAAAAATAAATAAAATAAAAATTGGTATGCAAGTACATACATACTAGTTAGTTATGTGTAGACGTAAAAGCCTTTTTACAATACACAAAAAAGGTAGCAATAAGCAAACCCGTCGTTAGCCCAAATGGCTTAACCAAAAATGGACAAATGGTTAGGTGAACGGTTAAAATAAGAAGTCAATAAACTTTAAGCTTTTCTTGTTGGGAATGCATAGCGGAAAATTGCACGGAAAAACAGAAAAGAAAACGAAAAAAATAAACGTTGGAAATTATTGAAGCAGGCAAAAAATGTTGGTAAATAAGTAATAGCCAGCAAGATTTGTGCAAGCGGCAACATGTTTCTTTATTGCTACAGTTGTGGCGGCTGCGTCAGTGGGCGGAAAATGAAATATGGTTATGCTCACAAAATGAAAAAAAAATCCGACTTAGCGTAGAGAAAATCTTTTTAATACATAGTTACGTACAGTGGTACGTGCAGTTAAGTTTGTATGTTTCATGTGTTGCTATACTGCCAAAAGGGCTGTTGAAGATGTAGCTTTGGCTTTGGTTATAATACATTCATAATATATGCTTTATGTAACATTTTTTCGGCTGCTGGTAAAATATCGGTAGGAACTACATATACACAATTTCATAAGGTAATTACATATATACATACAGTGACTCAAACATTCGTTCAAGTGGTGATTTTGTCTAAAATATTCACAATTTTTTCAAGTTAAAAGTTGTTTGTTATTTTTTTTTTTTATAAATATATTGGTCATGTCATTACTGCAATTACATTTATTTTAACAAGGTTATTGAACTTTATTCGACGACTGTTTTTGAGGAAAATATTCATTTAGTTTTAAATGCTATAAATAAAAGTTGTAAACCTTTTACAAAATTTAGAAAAAATTCGTTAAATCGAACCCTTACCGCGAAAAAGATTAGCGAAATTTGTTTCAAAATTTTATTTTTGACGATCTAGGAGCATTTCTGCTTGGAAAAAAATTTGCTTGCATTTTTTTCCCCGGTTGGGGTTCAAATTAATGATTTTTTTTTTAATTTTGTATAAAGTTTGAAACTTTGATTTTCTTAAAAATTTGAAATTTTTAAATCTGAATTTTTATAAAATTTTCGGGTATGCAGCCTATGAAATTTTATGGCATTAAGAGTTTGTTTTGCTTTAAAAAATTTTTGATTTGCCGCTGTTCAATTTTTTTTATCAAATGACTTTCCTATTTTATTTTTTTTAACGTTTCAATTCAATTACAATTATTGGTAAAGCCCACAAGAATACTCGAAAGAAATATCATTCACTGTTTCTGTTGCTTGAAAAATAATAATTCTTTAGCGTCATTTTATATGAGTTTATTCGTTTTTTTTTTAAGAGCTGTATTCTAATCTTAAGACCGCGAGAACATTAGTAGAGAGTTAAAAAATAAAATTACAATTTCAATTTAAAATTTCGTTCAACCAGCAGGAATTTCTTATTTTATTTTACTTTATTTGATTTGATTCCATTTTTTTATTAAAAATTTTTTTATTAATAAAATATTTTTAATTAAGAAATAAACGGTACTCATAAATTTTTATATGGCAATTGAAGTCGGTTGTGTTTTTTATTAGCCAAACAAAATGGAATATTAAATCACTAAAATAGGGAAGAATCATTACCAAAAATCATCGAAAAATTATCTAAATTTATCAAATCAATTGATAAGTTATCAAAAATTGTTTAATATATTTTTGAAGTTATCGAAAAATTATCGAATTATGAAAGTCATCGAAATGTTATCAAAGTTATGCATATTTTATCAAATTTATAGCCAAGTTATCAGTGTTATCAAAGAAATATCAAAATTGGAGTGAAGTTTTCAAAATTATCGGAAAATTATAAGTAGAGTATCTAATTTATCGCAAATTTATCAAAATTATCGATATGTTATCAATATTATCGATATATTATAAATATATTCCATATTTATCAAATTTATCGATAAGTTTTCAGCGCAATTAAATTTATCGTAAAGGTTTCCAAATTATCGATATATCACCAAAAATAATCAAAAAAATTATATAAAACTTATCTGAAAACTTATCAAAATGATCGATAAATTAACAAAGTTATCGATATTTATCAAAATTAGCGAAAGATCTTCAATATTTTATCAAAATTATGGAAAACTTATCAACAATATCAGAACATTATCGAAAATTTATCGAAATTGTTCTACCGAATTACAACTAAGCCAATTCCAGGCGGCTCTTTAAAAGTTGTCGACTGGTTAGAGTCTAAACTGGTCATTGTTCAATTGGAATCCAGATTTTTTTTTTCAAAATCACCTTGCTGTACCTGCTATTGTAAGATGACCAGCTGGAATCATCTCAATAGGTGCACAGCTGGCATACCCGACCTTAAATTTTAAACATCTTTGGGCTAACTTATTTTTGGTGAGGGAAGAGTCTATTCTTTTCAACGAAATTGCATTCCATTCTACGCAACTTTAGTCTCTTTAATATTAAGTTTTACTTCAACGTATTTATTTAGTTATATTTTTTTTTTGTTTTCGGCAGCTAAAAATTTACTAAAATTAATTTTTCTTGTTTTTTTCAGGAACTTCCACGCGCCGAAGCACTTTTGGGCAGAGAGAACAGCGATGAAGCTGATCTTCAAAATCTGGACAAAGATGTCACCGTAAAGAAGGTCGAAATTAAGAAGCAGCAGGCTGCACCCAGCCAAGCCGCAGCCACAGCCACAGATGATGGCGACTCTAGTGACAGCGACAATTCCTACTCGGATGTTGATGATGCTGAGGAAATAAAATACCCCGGTAAAGTGCCACTTGAATTGGACCTGAGCGACTTGGCTGCTGCTTTGTTGCAAAACAACAAAAAGTAAGTACGCACTTTTTATACTCACAAAAATTGCTTTCCAACTCCATAAATTTTCTTCCGTGCGCTCTAGATCCCGCATGAACTGCGTTGTTGAGCGCAAACATGCCGAGGAAATCGTAGACTCTCCTTCAAAGACTGTGGCCCTACCTTTCGGTGTCAACCTCACCACCGACCCTAAGAAGGCGCGCATAACCGGCGAACGCATCTCCATCTACTGCGAGGGTGGCAATGAAAATAAGGACCAAGAATCGCGCAACAACAACCGCGAAGAGGATGATGACAATGATGATGAGATCGAATCGAATCGTCCCATGTTCATTCCATACCAACGCATACCCATACCATTCGGTCAAATTCCACAACGTTTCCCATTGACGCACATGCCACAACGCATGATGCCACCTATGCCACCCATGTCGGTCATGTCGGCCATGTCACAGGAATCGCAACAATCCCAACCCCAGCAACCGTTCATTCGTCAAATGCCACCACCATTCCAGCATCTGCCCATGCGTCCACCGTTGCCACCACAAGTGATGCAGGCACCACATCCCGATGCTCAACAAACGCAACAGCATATGTACGTGCCACAAACGGTGCGCATTCATGTCCAACAGATACCGATTCGCGAAATTCACATGGCCGATGATGTGCCCGTGCAAATACCATCCCAACAACAGGAATTGCCACATTTCCAAATTCAGCGTCTGCCTTTGGGTGTTGCCCTGCAACGTGCTGGCATAACCGCCGATGATTTGCGCAACATTCAGCGCATGGCTGAGGATCGTATCACCGATGAGTTGCGTCGTCTGGCAGCCGAAGAGGCATCTGAGTCGTCTGAGAGCAGCAACAACAACAACAACAGTAACAACAATGGCCGTGACAGCGATGAATCTGACGACTCATCGGCTGATGTACAAATGTCCAACGAGCATGAGCATGCCGTTCGCCAGCAGCAACAGCAACAACAGCAACAACAACAGCAACAGCAAATGCAACTGCAGCAGCAACAACTTCCACACTTGGCGCAACCACAACAACCCGCCATAGCGCCGGAAGAGTCGATGCGCATGGAACAAGCGCCACCACAGCGTTTGATTCTGCAACCGCTGCCAGAGCAGCCACGCGACACCATGACACCACCCATGCCCGATCAGCCACAAATGATGCAGTATGGACGCGCCAACTTCGGCCGCAGTCTGGCACAGCCGGTGCGCATTCCAGTACCCATCCTACAGTCGCATAACGAGGGCGAAATTGGCGCTTCCGTTGAGTCGGAGCGGCCACATTGTAAGTTTTGCGCAAATCTTTTTTTTAATTTACATTTTACATTCTAACAACAACTACTTCTTCCGCAGTTGTTCAGCCACGATCGGTTTAAGCATTGAGCCTGTGATTGCTGCTGCTTTCGGTCGAAGTTATTAAAGTTTGCAGTGCCAATTCAACATTTCTCTTCAGCTCTGTAAGGCCGCTGCCCATTTCGTCTGTGCATCCGAAAGCAGCTAAACGCCAAAAATGTTATACCATAAACACATTCTCGTTTCTTTTCTGCCCAAAACTCGTACCGCAAATAAAACAGCCGCCCAGCCAACAATGAAAGAATACCAACAAATATGATTAACTAACTGTTGAATTGGGATAACTGCACAGACTCTTACGGAAAGAAATAAATTTGTTTAACATCTTTGGCCCTGTATTTTATATTTTCTGTTTCTATTTTATCTATGTTTGTAAATTGGTGTTTACTACTTGTATGTATGTATTCCAGCAGCTGCATGTATGTCCTATACAAATATACTACATATTCAGATGTACATATGTATGTATTTAAATATTGTATTTTTTATTTTTATTTTTTAATATAAAAGTAGCCACATTGGTATTTCTTCCAATCTGTAATAATACATATGTCAGCAGCCTTTTATTATTTTATTGTTTTAATTATTTTAAAATTAGACATTTGATAAACATTTTAAGAAATGAAATCGAAAAATTTGTAAATAAATTAACTATTTTTAATACAAATTTTGCGTATATGTGGAAATCTTTTAAGATGGGGACATTTGGAGTACTGGCATATTGTTGCCGTCGTTTATACTACTTATACCCATTTAGGTGTAAATATCAGTAAATAGTTATTTATAACAAAACTAACGGTTTTAATTACTAATTTACTTGCTAAAATCGAAAAAATCAGGAAATTTCTAGTACCACTCGCTACTTTTTTATTAAGCTATAACTTCTTAAGCAGTCCGATCTAAATTTCGGGATTTTCAGACGTTTATTTTTAGATTCTGATTCCTCAGAGGGACAAGTATTAAACAAATGTGCCAAATGCTGCTCACAACTGTAACTGAATTTCGCGTATTTTATGAAAAGCGTGAATTTTCTTGCCATAGTCATTGAGCGGTACTTATTTTACATTTATGGGTATAAAATATACTTCTTTATTTCTTCCGAAGAAGAATGCTAGGTTAAAGGACAACGTGCTACCTATAATTTCTGAAAAATCGTATTGAGAAAACGTGTAACCGGTACGTAACTTTTTACTAAATAATTTTTTTTTCGTTGAGCACAACCAATCAAAGGCAAAAAAATTCATAAGCCTTGGTCTAATACATATTTTGTGTTTGCGTATTTGGGTCTGTGTATAAAATGCTCACCTCAAACCAACACCATACAAATGGAATTTTTCAGACTACATACCTCTGGACGTATTTGTGGTAGAGTATTGGAACTTGGCGGGGAGATAGATAAAATCAATACTATACTCATGAAAAAAGTTGGTTTATTGAAAAAGTGCTCGTGGAACCTCCTATACAGACTGAATTGAGGACCTTGGTTAGATAATCCAATCCCGCAGAACCCAAATTTTTCAGCATCAACATGCAAATGACCAAGGGCTTTGGAGGCTTTCGCCTTCCCGATGGCTACCCTTACCTCACCGCTGGTGAAAACAAGAGGCGCACTAGGTGTTGGCAGTTTGTTCAGCCTTCTGGTCACTCGACGTTTGCCTTTGTCTACCGGAGGATGCACATCGCGCATCGCTCCCGGTCCGACGAAGCGTGGTCGACAAAATTTATTGCAACTCTGTCACCACGCTTCGTCGGGTTGGACAATGACCTCACGGTTGACCAAAGCTTACTCACACCAGATGCGAAGTTACAAGTCTTCAGATGCTCTTCCCACTTTTTCGCTTACGTATGTTCACAAGCTGCCGAATCTCCGCGTTGAGATCCCTGATACGGGGATTTCCAGGATCGGCTTGACGAAAGTTGTCGCGCTCATAGGCTAGAACAGCCGCTTCTGCAGGAAAGTTTAGACGGGGGTCCGTACCGCATCCTGCCGGTACGAAGCGAGCTGCACCAGCAGTGATAACCCTGTGCACGTCGGTTGGAGTGGGGAGCGCAGCGAAGGTGCTCTCCGTAAATTCCGCGAAGCCTTTCCAATCAGTTTTAGAAAAGTTGATATAGGTGCGGTGTTCCGCGTAAGCAAATTCGGCTGATTTATCAATCGAGATGACTATGGGCAGATGGTCTGATGCTAAGGTCAGCATAGGTCGCCATGATATGCTCTTTATCCGGCCAGCGCTGACACTTGTTAGGTCCTGGTGGGTGCATCGTCGTTCATTGTGCAGAATGTCGAATCGTCTATCTGCTCAGCCAATTGTGTTCTCCTGCGATCGGTTGACAGGCTTGAGTGCTAAAGGTCGTGGTGCGCATTAAAGTCGCACCTATTTCAGGGTGTTATCCTGCCGGGAAGCTGGTGACAGGGGTATATATACGTTAAATATTTCGAGCTCGACTTCGCCTGACCGGATAGCAATACCCTGACATTCTAGGATGGTATCCCTGCGGTCGATGTCTGCTTCGATTAGACGACACTGCATGGTGTGGTGCCTGATGAACACTAGGCCACCACCATTATCTCGCTCGCGATCTCGACGGTGCAAGATGCATCTGGCGCAATTCATCAACAATGTTAAATTGCCATGCAATTTCGTCTCTTGCACCGCAGCTTTTAATATTCCGTGCCGACCTATGAAGACTGTTATCGCTCCGACCTTGCTCTGAAGTCCGTTACAGCTAAATTGTAAAATCTTCTTGTGCCTTGGGAGACTTATTGGAATGTGAGGTGTTAATGAGGTGTGTTGCCGGCCCGCCACATGCTGTGCGTGCTACTGTAAAGGCTGTTGCCCTATGGTGGTAGTGGGCGGCGTCGCAGCTGGTACTTGCGACCGAGCAGCACAGCATGGGCCCTCTTTGTCCCTCGTCCAATCTCGCGTGGTGCGCAGTCTTGAACATGCACCAGCCATGGTAAGTGTTGCATTTCACTGATGTTACGTTACGAAATAACCTGGACTAACACACCGTGCAGATTGTCGTAGGAACTAGGAGTTGTAGTGTAGTCGTCTGTGGCACACGCAACAGGTATAGGTTTCTGGTTCAGGGTTTGACTCAATGCCAGCCCTGAGCAGAGCTATGCGAAGAAGATGTAATCCTATGAACGTACAAATTTTGAGGGATTTCGCCGACCTAAACGGGGTTAGATCGCCGAAACAACAGACGTTGGTCGGGTAAAACCCGAGTCATTCCAGTACATGGAACCGGCTGTCGCAGGAATGTTTCGTTATCGTTTTCTTATTTGGATGCATACTTGTATTCGTTTAAGATTTCGTTTTTCGTATGCAATAATGTTCGCAAAAAGGAAATTCGCTTTTTGCTTGTATAATATATATCACGAGATGCATTATTTTTATCGAGCCGAAGCGAAGTTTCAACGTTGATGATTTAAGCGGACATATCGCACACGATCTTCAAAAGTGACATAACTCAAAATTACACGTTCGTCAGAAAATGCGAAAAACTATCTCGTAGCTCATGCAAATCATAATGGGCAAGGGGGACTTTACCTTAAGTTTTTTGAACTCCAGCTTTTGCTTACAGGTAAATAAAAGCTCTGTATACATTTTAAGTGAATTATTTCAAAAATGCCAAATTTTGAGTTGTGTAACTTTTGAAGATCGTTTGCGATATGTATGAACTTAATACATATTTTATTCTACAAATCTACTGTTAAGTTGGAAACATTGCTTTCCTAAAACCATATCCACAAATACATATCGTCGCCCTCAAGCCAGAAGCATGAATGTGTAAATTTATCAGTTTTGAGTTATTGGGTTGACTTGATTAACCTTTGGATGTTCTATGTTATACCAAAACCCAGAATACCATGCGTACGCGGAAACATCATATTTTATCATTTTAATTGCATAAATGTACAGTTAAGTCTCGTAAAAAAACACATTCATGTTTCGGGCATACGAGCGACGATATGTAGGTACATATGTATGTACATGTTTTCATTGTTAGGTGCAATCCCGTATTCCTCGGACTCGGACTAGTAAAACTGTCAAAAAATAAAAATTCGCTCAGAGCGAGAGAGTAACATAGAAAAGTACGGGATCGCTTTCTAGTAAAAAATGGTAACTTCTGTCAACTTCAACATAATCTCCAAATTTTGGTTGTAAATTCTAGCTTATTTTGTATGTAAACACACTCAGCTCACACATGTAAATAACCAAAAATACTTTCAAATTCATTAGTAATTAAATACTTTTCAACATGAATTAGCAGAGTGCACTTTTCTTTTGTTTACAATTTGGTTGCCAAACACACTACAGCTGATCGTTTGACACATTTACCAGAATTTACCAGCAAAAAAATTCTCGGACTAAAACTGGTAACTTCTGACAGAGAGAGAACCGTATTTACTCTCTTTTTTGTCCTCTCAATAGTCAGAGAACCGAGTACGGGATCGATTTCCAGTAAAATCTGACTGATTCTGACTATTTCTGACTAGTCCGGACTCGTACGGGATCGCAACTATTAATTTTTTCTTATTTACAGCCAATTTCACGAATGATTTTAATTTTTTGAATCTTATATGGAAATTTACAGATAATAAAAAATCGTTTTTCCATTTAAATTGCTGGTGAAATCGGCTATTAATTATTTTTTCTTATAAATATACAGTTCCGTGTATATCCAAGTTTCAAACTTTGCACAATGCCTAAAATAAAATCCAAAAAACTGTTATAAAAGGTTCGAGCTTATTAATTTTATTTCGTAGAAAGATTTTTAATGTGCAGTTTTTTAGCTCATTCAAATCCAGTTCAAATGGCTAGAAATTACCGTTTATCGAAAATGTTACGGTTTTCTTCCAACGTTAATATTTACGTTAATATTTAGCTGTTTAAATCTGGCACTAAAAACGAATGGGCTACAAAACTTCATACTCAAGATCTTAAAAAAAAATCGTATCAAAAATTTTGAAATTTTTACGAGTTTTTTTTATATATTGCACAAAGTTTGAAACTTGTATTTACATAGTTTTTGTTAAAGAATTAACTATATTTTTATAAAAAGTAACTAAAATTAAATTTAAAAAATATAAGTTTTGAAAACATGTCAATATATACTTTTTCGACCACTGTACATATGCACTAATAAATATGTTTAATAATTTATAAACTATATTTTTTTGAAGAAACGTTCATATAAGAATTCTTTATTTACATTCTATAAATGCACAATCATTAGATTAATTTATTGTCTCGCAACTTACGAATTTTTTTTTACACCATTTCATAAATATTTATACAATTTTAAAAATCCTATATTTAAAGCACCATTTTACCCTCTATACATACACACGAATTACAAACGGCTTTGGGAATGATTTGTAAAACCTTAATTGATTCATGGTACACTTTTGTATACAAGTGTATGTATGTACATACATACTACATATATAATTACTTAGTGTTTTTACCATCCGCACCGCCAGCTTGTTTGTCTTGGAGACGACGACGCCACTGCGCAATGTATACGACCCAAATGAAGGATACAATGCTCATTGTTACCGTACGCAACTGCAATAAAAAATTCATAATTTTAACATTTAACTTTAAATGCAAAAATTTATGAGCGCTTTTACCATAGGAGGAACGTATGTCATATTAATTATAACTGGAATGGATAAGTACTGCCAATTGGTACGGAGTAAAGGCCAATAAAGTTTCTTTAAATTGGCAACAGCTACTTCATGCGAATTCATCTGTTAATGAGAAGTTTGGAGATTATTTTTATAAAGTTTGGAATTTTATTAATGCACAACTGCTTTGGAAATGCGTTTAAATTTACCTCAAATATAGAGAGGAAATAAAGTGAAAGTAGTTGATAAAATGGAGCGAAAACTAAGCGCTCGGACAGGAACAGGAAGAGCCGACGGAATTTCAAGTCATGTCTGAAGAGGCGTTCGACTGTTTGGTAAAAATAATGTGGCACGCTGCCGCCAAAAATTAGGCTACAAAAAACAAGTGAAAATTCAGTATGCAAATGTTATGTAATGGATATGGGTTGAAATTTATGAAAAATAACTACACACCAACTTTCGTGATAAGAGGTTAACAAGATTAGTCCTAGCGATAATATTTAACACGCTGCTTGCAAAGATAACAATTTATTTGAAAGCACTATTACTACATTCGTAGGTACATATGTCTATATAAAAGTTGCCTTTATGAGGAAGCCTTACCCAAAAAGTCCGTATGCGATGACACTTTCCTGATTAATCTTTTTATGGCCAGCAATGCGCTGCGCTGTGTAATTTGCCGATGCTGCTAGTACAGAGCTAAATATGCAAAAATAAATATATGCATGAAATTTTCCATATAAACAATTCACATACGTATGTACATATCCAAATATCTATACATACATATACATATAGATAACTTGCTGTTCAAGCGCTCACCTAGTTATGGATTTGGTGCGCACCGGATGATTAAAAAGCTGCTCCAAGTAAACTCCGAGAAGCGAATAAACAGGCTTTGAGAGTGACATTTTCTATTAAAAAAAAGAAAGTAATATAAAAAAATGAATTTATTAAAAATTAATTGGAGTATTAGTTTTATAAATTTTTGGAGAAAAAATTAACTTAATACAAAATAGCTGAGTAGAAAACTTCATTTGTTCAAAGCTCAAAGGCCGATTTTAGATTAATTCTTTTGCTTTTCAATTTCTGGATGCTTTCAATGTAGGCCATCCACTTTCTATTCGTTACTTACGAAACTTTTTTATTTCTAAAAATAGTAATGCATTTGATTGCACGTTCAATTAAATTATAATAATGATGTGAAAGAAACTAACTGGTTTGTGAATTTGGCTGGTCTTCTTGTTCTTATCGGATTGTAGTCTGTTGAGTCAAACTGGTGTTGAGTGAATCCAATAAGATTCTTACAGAGTTGTATTGGGAACAATAGGGGAATAAATATGTTTTTTATTACCTAATTTAAACGGTATATCATTTGCTAGGATTCAAGAATTAAATTATTATATTTGGATAAATTTAAGAGAAACATAACCTATGTAGGCACATAAGAAAAAAATATTTTTTCATCAAGATAATAATTATTATGGCAATGGTATCAAATTTTTGCAACCAGTTTTCAAAGCAAAAACATTTAACAACGCTATTTAATATGGTTAAGCTAAATTAGTCCATTCCATGAATATATATGTGTTATTAAATTCTTGTTCGCATCCTTACTTTTTCATACATTCAAAATACAACACTGCGTTATAACCCTTTTTCAATGGCGAAGCAGGAAAATTGAGTGGAAAATTGACACTGACACAAGAGATGCCATAGCGCTTCAAAACTATCGATAGTTTAAGTTGATTCCAAAACAGACTGTCGATAATTGAATAGAAAATCACAGGTAATATTTCGCACGCAATAACTCTTAAATGACAAAATAGGTTTAAAAATTGTGACATTATACTAGGTTTACATATAAGTAGATTATCCTCATTTTCGAGCTGAGCTCCCTAATTTCTAATTAGAAAGAGATTACCCATACAACATTCGTCCCTCGTTAATCTGTAATCATAAAATAATCTCAGATTAAATCGATAATTTTTCGGTGTACAACCTAGCTTTATCGATTATTTTTGGGAAGAAGAGGAGATATGCCAAATGTAACTGTAAACCAAAACGAAAGCTAGCAACTAAAAGAGATTTGTAAAAGTATTTTTAATAAAATATTAAGTAAAAATATATATAAATTGCTTAATATAGCAAAAAAAAATTTATCACAGTGGCTAAGAGAAGAAACTTAACTTTTCGTTGCGATTTGAGAATAACAAGCACAACAAATTTGACAGCTAATAATTTTGAGATTTCAAAAACGAGCTTTGATTGGGATTATATTAATATGTAAACATACATTTAGAGTAAAATCAAAGGACATAAATCTTGCCGAAAAAAAAACGAAAATAGTCGATAGTGCTAAAAATGAGATCGATAGTGAGTGACAAAATTCACTATCGATAGTGCAATCGATGTTATTGCAGTACTAGTTTGTCGTTTTTGTTTTTCTCAACAGAATTCACTGAGAAATTATTGTTCTATTCATAGCGCAAAATATAGACGATAAATAAGAGTATTAAATGCGTATACAGCTTGAATAAATTAAGTGTAAAGGTGCTCAAATAAGCGCAGCGCAAATTAGCAAAAAAGTATGCTGCATTTAAGAGGCGATACGTAGACCAGCCATCCAAATTATCTGCAGCACAGGTTAAGTAGACGAGGGAAAGTGAGGCATTACCACTTTGTTGGTGTCTTGTCGGTCATCTTAAGCATTATTTGCAAGCCGATTTCTAAAGGTATTTAATTACCGGTGAGTAACGTTGCTGCAAAGTAGTGAGCCTTTAAATTTTCGTTCTATATGACATTCCACATCTGCTCTAAATATTCCTTTACCAACAATTTTTATTAAAATTTCAGATACATACATATAAGAAAGAACGTGCAGCTCTCTCCGCCACCACAATGTACTGTCTACAATGTCTGCTGCCAGTTTTGCTTATACCGAAGCCAACAAATCCGGCACTCATGGAGACGCATGTTATGTTCATTGTTCTCTACCTAATTGGCTTCTTTCTAGAGCGAAAGCCATGCACCATCTGCAGCTTAATATTTTTAACAGCAGTATTTCTAATTTGTTATAGCGGAGTAGGAAATTGTATTTTTTGGGGCAACTGTGAAGGACATCAATGTGAAAATGGTTAATAAGTGTACCGTGGCCGTGTTCGGAGGTAAATGGATACGGTGCGAGTGATGGACTTAGCATTTCACTTGCTATCGAGTTTACTCCATATTTATGTATCCTACAGATTAACAAAAGTTATTAAATTATGTCAATTTCTTACCTTCTATAGTTCGTTTTTTTTTAATGTGATGCTGTCGTGTTTTTTGTATTATAATTTATGAAAAATGTAAGAGTTTTAACAAAACATTATGTACAACACTTTTAAGTTATTATTTTCCTTTTCAGTCACATATATATAAAGGGTAAATGAATATTCGTTTGCTTTTCCACAATAATTATTTTTACTCTTAAATGTTAAGCCGTAATACGCCACCGTTCTTCAAACTGGCCTCTAATTTATTATTCAGATAGCTTTAATATTAAGCCTTTAGATGCAGATTGTATTCTAATCGAAAGCTTCATCAATATACTTTTGTCTGATAAGCCATAAACTTATCACATTCGGTTCAGTAAGGGAGTATAAAAGACGGCTCGCAAATAGTTTATGATTGAGAATCAATAAAATAAACCACCCACAATACACATAATCGTAAACACAAATGTATGTACTTATTTAAATTACATTTAAAATAAACTCAAATATATAGCAAAGTAAAAGTTATTAAACTGCATATGTAGCTAGATATTAAAAGTTCTTAGATTTATCAAAAGACGAACTCTGAACAACTTGTGCTAGCAATTGTCTGTGTGAATCTTATTTGAAAAATACGGGCATGCTGTTGGATAAACTAAATAATAATTTAACAAATACCTAGTTCTCAAAAATATATATTTCTAATCGTCAACGTTACTATTTTTATTATAAACATGGAACGAAAGTGCATAAATTTGGTTGTTATTCCCTTTTTATAATATGTACAGTAAAATAAACATGATAAATAATTAATTTTCAAATGTGTTGATGTTTTAACCAAATGTTTTACATTTTAACTCGGTAATGAAAGTGAAACAAATTGATTTTTAACTGTTCACGATGGTAATATCAATAAATAAGTCTGAATTATCAGTACTGGGGGGTCAAATAGATAACCAGCTATCTAAAAAGCATATACAGACGGATCGGCGGGATAGTTGGCGGTTTCTTCTCCAAAGCGAGACTAATCAATGTCTGGTTCTGAAAACGATGGACCCTAATATTAGAAATATCAGAGGTAGGTCTGGATATGATTAGTATTAATTTAGAATGTCCTATACTTCACCCCTTCTATCTTATTATATTAAATCAGAAAATTAATAAAGCTCAAAATTAAATCAAATCAAATGTTTATTTATATACAGAATTCAAAGAGAAAAAAAATTAACATATATTATACATGCATAGATGGAATAAGTGATACTACAAATATACTCAACGCTATGGAATCTCATCTTCATACATAAGAGTATACATTTAAATTAGCAACTTAAAAGTATATCATTGCCAAAATCAAACTTGGGCAATTCAGCAGAGCACGAGGAAAAATCTCCATTGTCATAATCCTCTAAATACAAATAAGGATTTACAGATTTGGTAAGCAAGACGTTCAAATCGTCCTCGGGTTCTTCGAATTTTTCTACATAACCATCCTGATTTTCATCATAATCTAATATGGGCCCGCCATTCCGGATTTTTTCCATTGCTTTTAACAAAGCAGCTTCATCTAGTCCATCATTTTCCGCCCAAATTTCCTCAACGCTTTTAGTGCAACTATTTGTACAGCACGATTTCGGGAAATCAAACAAATCGAATAGTTCCGATGGATCTAAAGCGTGTTTGGTTTTCTGCGCCTCATATTGGATGCACGATTTTTTATTTGCGGTACCACCTGCCAAAGGATTTATTTCTTTGAAGACACCTTTCAATGGAGTAGCGCCAATTTGATTATGCATAACATTTTTTAGTTCGCCAAAAGCTTGCTTCTTTTTTACAGAGTGAACTCTTGGATGCCCTTGATGCACCTTCGCCGATACAAATTTATTTTCATCT